GAATTTCACATTTAATTTATTAGTCAGACATTTCTGTCCAAGGCTGTATGTTTTTTTTTTTTGGGAAAGCCCGGTCTTGTAGGACCTGGAGCACCTGGGGGTTAAAGGCTTTGCTCGGGGGGCCCAATGGTGACATCACTCTGCTGGCCGCAGGATTTGAGCTGATGACCTTCTGATCATAGCCACAGCATCCTAACCTACTGAGCCACACACCACATGGGTTTTTTAATCTGAAGGTCTATAGGCTTCTGGTCTCTCCAGTTGGTCAACAATAGACCGTCTGAAAGACCACGTGGCTGAAAATTCATGTTCATGACACACTTCTGGGCAGTATGATCAAAAATTTGTGTCAGTATTTTTTAAGATTCTGGAGGTTTTATGGTATATCACAGTATTTTTTCCCCCAAGTTCACTTTTACCAGCAGCAAACATCTGCATCAATAAAATACGTTTTTGAATGTGCTTAAAAAGGTATTTATAAAAACATTGAACTTAGTATAAGTTATAGTATAACAGACATATTTTATTAGATTATGACCTTGTACTTAGCTCGATTTACTAATTGTTTCACTGTCATGTTTTATTAGATTAATAGTGTATGTTTAGCAAGATAGTGATTTTTTTTTTTTTATTGATTTATTACCGTATTTTTAGCTTGGTAACAACATGTTCACTTAATCGGCATGATGGCATGACTTTAATATGTATTACCTTGATAAATAGGTGTTAGTGTTTGTGCTTTACTGATATGCATTTAATTGCAGACCTATTATATTTCACTTAATCCAGAATTTTAGACAGACTATAATAGATTATACAATGCAGAACAGTTGTATAAGGAGAATTATTGTTATAGCGTTATAACTGTGAGTAAGAAGGGTTCGCACAGTTAACAGGGGTCCCCTCTCGGTACACTCAGCACAGCGATCCATAGCACTTCTAGCAGGGAACAGTATTGTATAGTTTGCTGCCTACTGAAGTGTTACAGCTGTTATTTCAGCTGTGCTACGGTATGGCGGTATATGAAATATTCATACCCTGCGGGAGATTAAAACCGGGATACCAGATGACCGGTTTGCCGCCCACCACTAACATGATGGTCTGTGGGCCCAGTTCATTAGAGTCAAGGATCTATGCCTTTGACTGTGGTCATGGTTGTGGGTTCAAATCCCATGGCCGGCAAAGCCAGTAATCATATCTCCGTTAGGACCCCCACATTTCTGGTTATTTTAGAAATGGCAGAAAGTCTTGGTTACTTTATATTTTTGTTGGGGAGAAGCTCTCCAGGTAAATTTCCGGGGGTCTTTATGAGCCAATGAGGTAACTCGCCAAGCGCAAGACATGTTAGCTGGTGGCTTGTCCTCAGCTTTGGCTGTGTGTGAGCTGCTGATTGGCTCCTGGAGGGCCCCCTCCCCTGTCACTAACCCATGCAAAACATATCATTGGCTACTGATAAGATTGGCCCCTCTGAATGAATTTTTGGTCCCTCTTATGTCCCCCACTGTGTTACTTACATCTCACACTGCCCCGAGTGCTGGAGGCGGGCCTGTAGGATGCCGGGGTGTGTAGCGAGACCCGACCAATCGGGGAGTGTCGCTCTTGCTGCGGCGCAGTATGAGTGTGACGTTGACTGAAATGGACAGTCCCCTGGGGTATGTATGCATGCGATGGTGAAACTCGTACCGACAGCCGCAGCAACACAAAGCGACGCGGTGGAGAGTCTGGGGTCGAAGCAGCGCGACGCTTATATAACCGTGAGGTGTGCTTTGGCAGCACACACTGTACAGACCAGGGGTAGGAGGAAGCCGGCCAGGTCGAGGAGAGCCGTTTACCGCCTTGCAGGCTTCTGTATCCCTCCCGCCCGTGTGTGTGTGTGTGTGTGTGGGGGGGGGGGGGGTGAGGGAGCCGCCTTCTTAATTCTGCCCTTTTTCCTGCCAACCGTGGCCCTGTGCTGTTTTGTCATTGGTCGGAGCTAGGTAGTGTCTAGCTATCGCACGAGTAATGATTGACAGCTGCCAGCCGGAAGGGCTCATCTGAAACTCAATCAGGGGGGTGGTGCAGGGTTACCAGACTAAACTGCAGTCTTGGGCTCCTCTATCCCCCCCCTCCCCCTTTTACCTGGAATTCGTTTACCCTGGACGAGCGCTCTTGTCGGGCTTGGCAAACCCTCACCTGGCCCCCCCCCCCCCCCACCATTGGCCCGTTAAAACATCCATCTCTAGTGCCAAGATGTTTTGCAGTTTTCCAGCGCAAGGCGTACATATAAGGATATGGAGTAACAGAGCATGAGGTCATGCCTAGCCTCACGCTGCAGGGGGCGCTACAGACACCGCCTTCGATAGCCTCCATGTGGGCTGTTTTCTTATAGAAGCTTCACTCCTATTTTACTGAATGAGAACTCCTGTACTACAGCATTGTACTAACAAGGCCAAGGTCATGGGTTTGAATCCCTGGTAGCACACGTGACCCTCTCTCCTCTGTAAGTCACTTTGAATGAAAATAAATAAAGCATATTTATTTAGTGGACGCTTTTATTCAAAGACAACAGGGTCACCCAGTCCCTTGAAGGTTAAGGTCCTTGCCCAAGGGCCTGATGGTGACATCACTCTGCTGACGCTGAGATTTGAACCAGCTACCTACCGATCACAGACAGTCTCCTACCCTACTATGGCCGTCAGGTTAATATGGAGAAATCGCCATAAAGGTGGTTAAAAAATAGGTAAAATCCGGAGAGGGAAGTTGTCACTGAGGGAAATATCCATAGATGGTAAAGCCGTAGAATTTTAAAGCTCTTTCTAATCATGGGAGTGATTAAACCCAGCTGCCTCCCCAGTCCTCCTGGAAAACGCTGCACACCTTCCCGGAGCGTCCTGCCTGGCCGAGGGTCCGTGGAAAAGGCGGCTCGCTGTCTTTGTTTTGGCTCCCGGGAGAGAGATTCCCAAAGCCGCGGAGCGCCCCCCGGAATGACGAGGCCCCTCACCTTCCCGGGCCTTTGTCTAAACAAGGCGACTCATCTTCGCTTTTTCCCTCACCCCCCACTCCGCTAAACCCGGCCGAGGCACTGCTTCGTGTTTCATTACCATCAGATCTTCGTCTAATCAGGGATGATTATCGTCGTGTTTTTTTTTCTTTCTTTTTCTGTGGGCAGGGTGAGGAAAAAGTGGAGTCAGACTGCAATCTGATAAGACATTTGGAAATAGCCTTAATCACCCTTTGAGCTCTTCCCTGGAAATCTAAGTAGTCGCTTATTTAAGTCTCTGTGCACAATCTTTTTTTCCCCACGGGGAGGTTGGACTTTAGGAATAAATTGAATGCATTTCAGCAAATGAAAATATAAATTTCTTTGTGTATTTTTCTTTTTCTTTGAAGTTTGGTTTTTAAAACCCCTTTTTGGGAAACTGTAGTGACTGTCGCTAGATTTTAGTTGACCTGAGTGGTGGGGGCATGTTCAGTCTGGTACAAAACGAGGTTCAAAAACGAGGTTTAGTGAAGTGTTTTCAGTGACCTATGGAGGCTGGTGTTTTTTTTTTTGGAGGGGGGGTGGGGGTGGGGGTGACAGAGTGTGGAGAGATGGGCTGATTCCTTGCTTTGCTGTGAGGCTTTAATCTCCACAGCCCTGTTAGTTGGGTTTGACAGAGCAGAGTGATTTATGTAAGGGCAAGATTAGGGGGCTTTTCAGCTTTTCAAAGGCGTCCTCTCTCCTGTGTCTCCTTCTCCCCGCCCGATCCGTCAGTCCCCCCCCCACCCCCACGACCTCCCAAGCCTGCCTCACAAATTCAGTGCTTAACCTGGCTAGACAACATATATTCGTGAATTAAATTGTCAGTGTCCCCAAGTCGAAGGGCGAGAGCTTCTGCTGTAGTAGATCTTGATGAGCTTTCATCGCCTGGAACCCTTCCTGCTGTATCTCCATGGATCCTTCTGGCTGTAACCAGGTAGGACCGGAGATGGGTCAGTTTTGGCTTGTTGGGTGTCCTTTAGTTTTGATATAAGCTTAATGGATGTAGGAAGAACTCTGGGTTGCAGAGCCTCTGTGTGGGGATTTATTTTGGACTTTGTGAAACCTGTGGAGCGGCCATTAGGACAGCCAGTGGTTGAAGGTTTGTTTTGTGTATATTTGTGTGTGTGTGTGTGTCTAGGTATACATTACATCGTGGGGACCAAATGTGCCTACAGTGCGATGAAACCTGTTGTTATGATATTGTGGGGACCATTTTTTCGGGCCCCCACAAGTGGACATTCAATTTTATAAAAATCTGTGACTGCAATCAAGAAGATAAAAATGTTGAGATTTAATTTTGTTTGGTTACTTATGGTTAAGCCTGGGGCTGGGCAGGGTTAGGGTCATCTTAGTTGGGGAGTCCACACAGTGATAGCAATATGTATAAACTTTGTGAGTCTGTTTGTCTGTGTGTATTTACGAAAGGACAGACCCCCCCCCTCCCCCCAACCATACCCTTCTTTGTGGCCAAAAAGTACAGCGGGACAATGACAGGAAGTACATTAATGGGACCTGCTATTGTCTGTCTCCATACATCCCCACTTCCTGATTGAGAGGGGGGCACGGCCTCAGGCTGACGGGGGTCGTGGCTGCTTTAAAGTCAGTCATGAGTCGGGGAACTTCTGCTGCTCGGGGTAGATGGGCTGTCTGTCCCCCCCAGGAAAGGAGCTGGGTGGGGGGCCTCTAATCCACCACCCTTCTGCCGTCTGCACCTCACTTAAGACCACCCCCCCCAGGGATGTCGCAACCAGGGGGGACAGGAGGGGACATGTACTTTGCTAGCTCGTCACCCCCCCCCGCCCCCCCTCCTCCAGGAAGAAGCTGTTGGTCGCTTTCGGGTCGCGTCACGTCACGTGATATAGCAACTAGCAGAGCCGCTGTAGATCTCTGTGGCTTGCATGTTCCGGGGGAGGGAAACGTGTGACGGGGGGGGGGGGACACGATGGAGCTGGGATCCCCCGGGTGACCCCCGTCAGTGACGTGTCCCCTGGCCCTGCAGGTGTGCCACCATCCGGATTGCCAGGACCTGAACAACAAGAGTCCGCTCAGCCTCTGTGAATCATGTGACACTCGCTGCCACCTGCATGACATGGATAACCTGCACCTCGAGCGGCACCCTCGCTTCGACCTGCAGCCGCAAGGTACGCGGCCACGACCGCCCGCTACAGACCACCTCGGCAGTCATGACTGCACGAAGGTCGTGGATTCACACGCCAGGGAGGACATAACCCTTCCCTCTAAGTCGCTTTGGGTAAAAGCGTCAGATAAATGAATGAGTGTAAAACAATGCATAAGGGGTTCTGGGAAATCTATTTTTTTCCTTGTACCATTGAGTAATGGGTAAGAAAAGCAAAGTGAAACCAAGTCACCAAAATAAACCACCTTCTCACCTGAGGATTAATCAGTTCCTTTTAGTTTAGGAGTCAAACTTACAACAGAACAGTTTCGGTTTTATGTTAAAAAAAAAGACAATCCTTTCCCATGTATCCACTCCGCTTGACATTCGGATCAGCGGATCAGCGTCCATTTTATTGTGATGAACCTTAATCTTCCGACGGTTTGTGCCCATTAAATATATTAATCTTTCTGTGGTTTTGCCCAGTAGGTGCACTAATCTTCCACATTCTCTGCTCCCGTAATGACAGTTCTGATTTATCCATATGTGTCCTGTATCTCTTGTACCTTATGAGACCTTCAGCCTGGGGGTGGGTGTTCAGTATATGGCGTGCAGTTCTGAGTCCTTCCTCCTCGACCCCCTTAGGCTCCATCCTGGCCCGGAACGTGTCCACTCGCTCCTGTCCCCCATGCACCAGGCCGCCCTTCAACCTGGATGAGGAGGAGGATGGAGGAAGTGGCAAGGGGTGGGTCCATCTCCATCTAGACCATGCCCCCACCCCCCGGCCTGCTAGGGAGTGCAGGGGCCATTCTGTTTCAATAAACCTTTAAAAACTCATGCTTGTGAAGATGCGATGCTGTCACTGACCTTAACGTGACCTCTCATTAACAGGGGCCCGAAAGTGGGCAGGAACAAGAACAACCCCCGGAGATACCTCACAGATGTGAGTGCCGCATTCTGTCTGTAGGGGGAGCTCTATGTGTTTGTTCATTTGGGTCGTCTACTATATCAGGTAGACTTATGGTCAATTTGGTTTTTGCAAGTAAAAGAAAGTCCAGAAGAGACCTTTTGAAGGCCACTGCTGCTCTCATACAACTGATTTACAGTCACACCTTTTTGGGTGGTAATTATTTAAGTGTTAATTCGTTTGGCTCCTTTTTCTGCTCAGTGCAGTTTTCAGTTACATTGTGGGATATCATCCGTGTTCCTCAGGCAGAAACAAACCTCGTGTGTCTCAGTGGGTCGGCTGTTAACTCTCTCCCTCCCCCCCCCCCCCGCCCAGGACCCCAGCAAAGAGTGCTTCTGCCTGAAATTTGATCTGAACGTGGACATTGACCCCGAGGTCGTCCCGGCCATGAAGAAGAAGACCTTGCGGTGAGTCGCTTCCGCAGAGATGCGACGGCGTCCACGGGCGCCACGTTCGTTCGTAGCACAATTCGGCATCTTGAGCTTAGGGAACCGGTTTGATCCAGATCACAATAGCGGTGCTGGATGGTGTGGGGTGGCGCCTTTGGGTTAACAGAACGTTACCTTGCTTGGTAGGGAGGTGCTGGGGCCTGTGTTCGAGCGGAAGGGGATCCAGTTGTCCCGAGTGAACCTGTTCGTGGACCAGTCCAACACCCCCCTCTTGCTCAGCTTTGAGGCGTACCGATTTGGAGGACAGTACCTCAAGGTGAAAGGTAAGGATTTAATTAAATGTAATAGTCTATCTTTTGGGGGGGGGGGGTAATGAAGCCAAATTATTATTATTATTAAAATATTGGGGGGTACACATCCCCTTTGGTTCCTTCATCCCTATTCCTTGGCTTTCTGTACCTTTTTATCCAGTCTTAAGCTTTATTTTGCAATGGGGGGGGGGGGGGGGGGGGGGGGAACATGATATTCTGGTAAATAACACCCCGCCCC